AATGTGACTGGATGAAAACTGGAGTTTTTCAGAAAACCCAGATAAGAACATCTCAGAAAATTCTGGGCAAAAATATATCGATTTTCTTTTTCGATGTTTTATCTCTGGTATAAATTTGAGCTCAATCAGACGTGTACTCCGCATTTGGCAACAAGGTGAAAAAAGAGGGGGGTACCCTTAATATTGATGTTTCCTCTTCTTCAGTATTCTAGTTCTTATTCTGTCACATTTTAGTCAGGTTTTCGATAAACCAATGAGTTCAGAGTTCACAGAGTCCATCGTATCATTCTTGTGCAAACGGATTATAGAAAGAAAAGAACAACGACTTTTTTTTCCTACTATATATTTTTCTCTCGTTTTAGATTAATTCAGAAAAAAGAAAATGACTTCAAATGATATACATCCATTACATCGTTCCGCTGAAATCGAAGATTTATCTCATATAACGAAAGCAGACGAAGCTAAACTTCAAAACGAATCCTTAAAAAACGAACGAAATAATTTGAAAACAACAACAAATTTACATCGTAGTGAAGAAATAGAAGATTTGTCTCATTTATCGTCGAAAGATATGAATAAACCATTGAATAATAATAGTAATATCGATGATACATTGCGTATTTATTCAACAGCTACCGCAGAAACTACATACGATGATCAACATCATCAACCATTAACTCCAACATTTGGATCAACAACACAAAATGCTCAACAACAACAATTTCCACTTCATCGCACTTCAGAAATGGAGGATATTCACGCTGAAATCAAGGAAGAAGAAAGTAGTCGGCAAAACTCGTCACCAATCAAAAATGAACAACGAAAATTAATCAAATGCAATACAATCATTGGTGATAGTTCAAAATATAATTAGAATTATTTTGTGTAGATAATTGACTGAAATTTGCTCTTTGTATCATCTCATAACGTTTTCTGTTTATGTTTATTTCTTAGTGGAATAAAACCTTATACTTAAATTGTATTTAACTGTAAATTTCTCAGTAGAATTTTTGTTGTTATCTAACCGCATCCAGTGGGCAGGAGTCTCCTCGCACATGGAACAATTGTTCATTTAAACCCTTATCCTTCTTGACAGTTTGCCCTTTTGAGTTACGGTATGGTATGTATTTCCAGTTAGCAAAAAATGGAAAGTTAGATTTTTGAATGTCGAACTAATAGTAGAAAATGTTGAAAGTAAAAGTAGTCTGGAATGCAACGGTATTAATTAAGAAGTTTATTTTCTTTTGAATGAGATATAACCCTAGACAGTTTGTATTCTAAATAGAAGACCGTAGAATAATATTTTGAGTAGTTTTTTGCGAATATAGTATAAACTAGGTTTTTTCTTAGTAATACTTAGAGGTGTTAGTTGCGCCGCTGTCACCGGTGAAAAAAAATTTTGAAATTTCACGCCGCCGCCGTCATAGATAGAATTTGTTTTTTTAGTTTTTAGAGTAGAGCCCTGCATTAGATGGACATGGACAGTTTTTTTAAATCTGTCCATGGACATGGAGGACATGGACAAAAAATAATTGTCCATGCAGGTCTCCAAACAGGAATGAAATTCTCATACGCAAAACGTATTTAAAAAACGCGAACATTTCATGGACAAACTGATGGACATGGACAGAAAAAAAACTTTTGTCCATGGACATGGATGGACATGGACAGAAAAACACTTTTGTCCATGCAGGTCTCTACGCCGCCGCCAATAAAGTTTTCAATTTGACACGCCGCCGCCGATGAAATAATCGGCTAGTACCTCTAGTAATACTCATATGACAATCACAAGGCTCAAAAATGATGTCTTCAGTTCATAAGATCAATGATGTTAGAGCAAACTTTCCTGAATCTTACATTAGGCTTTTATAATCTGGGAGTTTTCGACATGAAATCTTTTCCGTCTCATATGAAAAGTATTTTCAATAAAATCTTCGGAACCAGCTATTAAAACTACTGGCGTAGCCACCGGATGGGCTGAGGTGGGCTCAGCCCACCCACTAATTCGTTTTGCCCACCCCCTAAACGTTTTATAATTCACACTACTCTGCGCTAATGTCTACCACTTGGAAAAAATTTGGAGCAACGCCTACCCACTAACAAAATCCTGGCTACGCCACTAATTAAAACATGTTGACAACTAATGAAATGACCTGTTCATAAGAAAGTCAATCCGATTAGATTTTCAATATTTTTGAAAGGGTAAATTTCTTATGCGATGTAGTCTAATGCGTTTACTTCTCTCAACGCATTTAAACGCGTTCATACATATATACACATAAGAATAGCCCAGACATATCTGCCCTTCTGTCCGGAACGCTCCCAAGACACTAAACAGCGTCAATGTATTGGGTAAAACCCAAAACACAAACGACTCTAAAACTTGATTGACCAGAGGGTAACCAAGGGTGGGGAATCCGAATCGATATCAGAAATGACTTATTAGTTATTAATTATTATTAGTTAATAAATCAGTTATTAAAAAATGAATGAAACGCTGGGCGTCCGTGGTTTTTCACGGGTTATTTCTAGTCAGTAATATTTATATGGGCAAGATTTTATTATAGGGAAACAACAAGCTTTTCAAAAAATTTCACTAGGATAAAATGATACATCACCTCAGTTTTGTTTTGACATCGTTCTTATAAGAAAGTTTTTAGAAAAGGTCTATACATAGATGGCAACAGAGTGACTGATTTTTCAGCAAAATGTGATGTATTTATTACTCTGATATAAGTACGATGAGTACGCAAAATACTTAAAAGTTTGTACATGTGTACTCAGTCTGATACTAACGACAGCTGTTGCGTTTCCATGTACTTAGGAAAATACTCAATTACTTAAATGCTCCACATGAGGACTCACACACTTTTCGGTCATTGTTTTGTTTTGCACATATGTGTACTATAAAAACACCACGTAATATTAAAAACTCTAACTTTGTTTTTAATAACTTCAATAACTCCGTTGATGTAAACAACACTGAGTTGTTTTAAAAAACAATTCTTTAGCTGATAATATACATTTTGTCATTATAAACGCTGGTATTGCACCATGAACTCTCACTACGGATTAATACTTATCACATTCCCTGTAGAGTATGAAAGTGAGTATTCACCCATTCATAAGTACCGCCCCCACGAGCACGGAACTTGATTAATATTATAAAATATGACACTTCAATACTTCGCTGAAATATGGCTCATTTTCTTGAATCTTTAATTTATCCTATACTAGAATAACTAAAACCCGATGATAAAGAATTTCCGGATAGTTTTTCTGTAAAAAAAGTGTTATATTGATACTAGCATTACAAAGACAATCCACCTGTCAAATTTTCACAACATCAAGCGCCATCTTTTACTGATGCATTTAGTTATTCTGGGAGAAAATTATTGTCTTTAAAAGTCAACGTTTGTTCTGAAAAACGAAATAGTTTCGAAAAATTCTATTTGAAATGAAAATAGTTTGTTTGTTGATGGAATATATTTGTGATGTTATTGGGAACACGCTGTTTATCAAGTTAACGCATTATCCAATGACTCATCGTCAGATGAGTGACTTACTTCGTGTTTTACTCATATCATTCATTTTTGGAAATTTTATTTAATTATTCATTTTTTAGCATTTTAAGTGAAAGAAAAAAGCCTACAAATATTTCTAAATTTACTAACGTAGAAGGAGAAAACATGTCAGTAGAGTTTTACTGTGATTCTTAATATGCTATTGTTTTCATTTCAGAATAATAGCGATATGATGGCAAAACAAAGTCAAAATGAGATCGATACTCTTATAGCAAAAGTTAAAGTAAGCAGAAACATCTTTCAATGATTTGGGAAGTCAAATTTTCGCTATTATTTCTATTTAGCCTAAAAATCGTGATCTAACACGTCGTGATATAGTGCAAGCCACTCAAGCATCGCCCAGTAATTTATTATTAAAAGTTAGTTCATATTGTAAGTAGTATTTAAACACTTCTGGCTACTTTAACCAACGCGATTAGATGTAAAACGGAGACGTAGATATTCTTCAATAAAATCATAATTGTATTTACCTATCTATCTAGTAACTTTCGTTTAACGAAAATTGAAATATGCTCAAGTTTATCTCTTCTGTTATTTTGTAATTTAGATTTTAATGATGGTTCAAATAAAGATTTATTGTGTTTAGAAGGAACAGTCTCCGTGACTTACAAAGGTTAGTAAGAAGAAAGTCTGGTTTACAAATTCTTCATCCTCATAAAGTAATGAGACTTTTTACAATTTCTAAGACTGAAAGCTAAACTATGACGACACTAGTTCACATCTGTTATCAAAATGATCACTCAATGAAACGTTATCTTATAACTCTTTTCTATCACCAATGTTTACATTAAATGTAGAAAATTGTCACAAATCAGTTACTATAAACGATACTGAAATACCTAAAGCGCATAAAACATGTAAAATTGTATTAAACGTACTACGTTAATTTATTTCTTTGTTGTAGGTAATCGTTATAATATACCTATAGAAATCTGGTTGACCGATGATCATCCAAATAAACCACCAATGTGTTATGTGAAACCAACACCCGATATGCGCATAGCACCATCGTCCATTGTTGAGTCTGACGGCCATATTGTTATTCAATATTTGAAATCCTGGAGACACGTAAGACGATATTTAACTTTCAGTCTGCGTAGCATTTTGTATTCACGTTATATACAGTCCATTCAAGAATATAAGGCTGTGCCGTGGCAAATTGCATTACTTTTGAACAAAGACGGACGGTAACGTGCACTTTTGGCAAAGAGTCTTGAACTTATGTTTTAACGAAAAGATGCACGTTGAGTTAATTTTTGCCAACAAACATGAAGAACCGCGGGTTGCCGTCTCTGTATTTAAAGATTATTCGATGTACGATAAAAAAGCGCCTTTTATTTTTGAATGGACTGTAGTTAATTTTTTATGTTTTTCCGATGAAAATAAATTAACAGCTTTACGTTCATTCTATTTCTTTTTAGCCATCATCGGATTTAGCCCATTTAATAATTCAAATGGCTGAAGCGTTTGGTCAACAGCCTCCTGTTTTCTCAAATGTTGGCGGAACCAGTGCATCAAGATCATCATATTTAGTGCAAGGTATGTACATTTGAACGACCATGCTTTCATTATTTTGCACTCAAAATATTCCGATATTATCTCATAAACAAGTCAGATTTTGAACTAAATTCGGTATTGACGGATCTATTTGAAATCCCTTCTACACGTATCCATTCTATTTTAGGTGGGACACCAGGTTTATACGGTCAACCGCCTCCGAGTATTGTGAACACTTCTTATTCAACCCATCCGTCTTATAGCATGCCGTCTTATCCATCATTATCACAACCATCTTATCCTTATCCACAACCCTATGGTATTGGCGGTCAAGCAGGACAAATACCAGAAAATATTTATAAAGAATCATACATAACAGCTGTCATGGATAAAGTTAAATATAAACTAATGGAAGTTGTGCACCAATCGAAAGTAAGGTTACTTGTTGAACTTCAGACTGAAACTTGCTCTTCTTCCAGCAACATGTAAATCTGAAAAGAGGAAATTACGCTCCCGATCATTTTTTCTAGGAGGGAGTATAGTTCGTATCGGGTGTGTTAATACTTATATGATAGCCTTTTTAAACAAAAGTCATTCATTATACGGCTTTTTATCTTTGTTTAAGGCTGAAATTGCTTCGTTGCAAAAAACTGAAGAAGATCTGGTGAAAGGACAACAACGTTTAGATATGTTCATATCAGATGCTCAACAACAAGGAAATATCTTGAATCAATATGTAACACAATTAAAGTCGAAAACAATAGAACTGAAAGATGCTGTACAAAAAATGTCATCGTCACGGCAACAATCAGCACAACATAATTTAAAAGATGATGCAATTATTATACCAGCGCCAATCTATAAACAGTACGTATGATGATTCACGAGTTCATTTGTAATGTCATCGTTTTCTTCCCATTTTTCCTTGGCTCTACTCAGATGCTACTTCTCATGTCTTATGTTAACAAGAAACTGGTGTCACATGCCCTATCGTCAATAAACGAACGTTTTAAATACTCTATTATTTATTTTACTTTGTTAACTGACGAAGACATAAGTTGCTTGTGAAGAGAATATGAGTATAAAGACTAATATAGAATGAATGATTTCTGCATTGTTGAATATCGCAGTCTAAGTTGAGGATGTTGTTTTCTATTATTTTGATTGGTGTTATACCCATTGGTGGTTTTTTATGTTCCTAATACAATTTGTCTGTCGTTTAATAATCTTCTTGGCTGTGTTAAACATCCACCGTTTGAAAGAAAATTTGTTTTCTGTGTGATTTTCGTATATGGAATAACAAATGACAGAGGAGAAATTTTAATTTTTTATACACAAAATACAACGATTTACTTCCATTATTTACAAAATTTTGATATTTCACTATGTTATCTATGGTTTCGCTTCATTTTCGTTTTACACATAAGCATGCCGATCATTATTAACGCTCTGTTTAATATTATGTGTTTAGTTCATTATACGAAACATCTTCGAATACATATATATTTTGATTATATATTTCATTATACATTAGTACCTTATATTTACCTTATTTATATTCTTTCAGAATTAGGAGTAATGGAAGAAAATCTCTGATTCTGAGAAAAATTTTTGGAAAAAATCAACGTTATCCGCTTTGTCTGTAACACCGATTCTAATAATATTTCATCTATTCATACATTTTTTTTTCTCTACCTTTTGACCAATTACCGAAGTATCTTGAATATTTTACTGTGCGAATGTTGGAATTCAACAACATGTCTGATGACTACGATATTCAATTTCTTTTAGGTTAACGTGGATTCTCTTTTACCAAATCTCATTTTTCTAAAAAGGTGAGCTATTACTTGTAGAATGGTGAAGTCTCTACATCCGACTAATTGCTGGAGAAAGAGTTTTTTAGTCTAAAAATATTATTGGGTGTTTGCTTTTAACAATTTTTCTTGAAAAAAGATATCTATTTATTCATATTTCTTGTCTCTTTTAGATTATTACAAGCCTATGCTGAAGATCATGCAATACAGGATTTATTATATTATCTTGGTGATGGTCATCGTCGTAACTCAATATCTTTAGATACATATTTAAAGGTTTGTATATTAATTAAATTTAATAGAATTATTTGATGAATACACGAAGGGAAAGAAGGAAAATATTTCAGATATTCATCATTTTTATTCTATGAAAGAATATGTCGTGTGAAAAGGAATCAGTTGTTCTTGATATCTATTTCTTCCTTGAAAAAAATCAGTTTTTACTCAGTTTTTAAGTTAGAATAAATTTTGTAACTATCATACCATGTTGAGTCCTTCATTATTGTAACCTCGTTCTATGGAATTCTTAGCAACGAAAAATAATTTCGAGAAATTAAATGAAAAATATTTAATAAAAATATTTTAATCTTCTTCAAAAATGTTCACTTCAACTATGTGTTGTAATGTAGCTTTTATTTTTATTTCAATTTAAGCATGTACGTGAATTATCTCGTCGTCAATTTATTTTACGTGCAACAATGCAAAGATGTCGACGAATTGCCGGTTTACAAGTTAAATAGAATAGCGCAATGGGACAATAATGAAGACCGATCTATTTGATTTTTTTTTAACCTACGGCTTATTTATCCGTCCTTCAAGGAGCATTCTCAACAGCGAAAAAAAACGTTTTTTATTTTATATCTGATTCTAATGAAGTTTTCAGGAGATTTTAGTCATATCGAATAACCTTTTGGGAAAAATGTTAGTCTTTTATCCTTAAGTCTTCTCGAGTTATAAATAATATATGGATGTTTCCACAATCTCCTGGAATCTACTAACAAATCAAGAGACAGAAAGACCGAAATTTTTTCTTTTAATATTAATGGTTTCTTAACTGAATTTTTTCAAATATGGAGGTTTTTCCCGTTAAAATAGGACACCTCATGGACAATTTGTGATCTTGTGCTAAATAGAATAAGTATTTTTCTAAAAGTCTCAAAACATTCCAATAGATACACGCTATTTTTCAGAATTGTCTATCCATAAAGATGCTGAAGAGTTCGAGCTAGCTTTAAAATTGAAATCAGCATTTTACGGTTGTATTGTATAAAAGGTGATCAGCTTCCAATAATGAGAAGATTTCTGAACAGTTTAAAATAGATTTTGAGCATTTTTGACTCATGACGCGTGCTAAAAATTGTTAAAACAAAAATTCAAAAATTTGACTCTTATACGGTGTAGTCACAACTGTAAACTTCAATTTAAAACAAACCACACCTCTACAGTATCTTCGTGGGATGACAGTTTTGAAAAATACGAATAGACTTGCTGTGATCGTTGTTGTAGTGCTCTCTCGCAAATAGTGACAGATAGTATGAAAAAAAGTTTGTCATGCTCTCTCTGAAACGTTTAAGCTCTATTCACTAGTACAATTTGAAATTTTAAAAAATCCACTGAAAAACTAGTAATTGTATAATGTGAAGTTACATATTGTGAATTTCGAGAATAAATACGTGTATTTACTCAAATATTCATTCAGTACAATTTTCGAGTTTTGATTTTAGCCGCTGCAGGGATTTCCCCTTAATTCAAACATTTTTGACTCGCTTCAGTATTAATATCATTATTAGTTATTTAATGCTTTTATCATTGTAATATATAAACTCATTTCATTTGACACATTTTTCGTTTTCGTGTTTCTGTTCTTTTTTGCATTCTCTGTTTGTTTTTTATTTCTATATATTCTACAATTCTAGCACCTGTATAAATGTCCTCTTCTCAGTATATAATATGAGTAATTGAACGCATTTCTGCTAGATAATAAATAATAATTTTATATCTGATCCTTTTTTTGACAAATTAACAACTTTCATCATTACTTAAGATAAAGAGCAATGATTTGCATCCAGTATCAAAATATTGTTTTCTAGATATTTTGGCATAAGATGTCAAAAACAAATTCATTGGTTATGCCTTTTTAATTAGCTTTTAATCATAGCATTTCCTGTAATAAAATAGACATGTTTTTGCAGAACAGTTTGAACAGGTGTCTCGGGAACATGATTCTTTGTACATTTTTTCGGTGTATTCATTGATAATAATTCATATGTGTGATATCTGCAAATGGTTTGGTATCCATTGATCATCACTGAGTAATAGATGCTTTTACTGTAGAAAAACAATAGGATTAATAGAAGCTGTTAACTACTGCTCTTTTTGTCAACCGGATGATTAAACATAAAACACAGCGTGTTCTGCTGTTGTCATTCGTGAACGAAATTTTTATCATATTCTCCCATATTTTTTAAAGTGGTATGAATGAGATCCGTTTCATAATTGATCTCGCGTACAGAATACAGAACCAAGCATAAATAGAACTTCTTGTTCTATCATGATAATAATTCATATGTGTGATATCTGCAAATGGTTTGGTATCCGCTAGTTGCGTATCAGCTGAGATGTCGAATAAAATCGCTGGCAAATCGTCCTTAGATGTAGCTGATATGGCAAACTTACATACTTGTTCTCGATTTCTGCTTGTGGAGAGAGAACTATGTCACAAAAATAAGCTCTCCGATTTTTCCTTTTATAAAATTCTGCAGTTGATATTGTTTGATCACGAAAGACTGACATGATTCGCTCGTTTCGTGAAACAGATGTTAAGAGCTGTTGTGTGTTTGTTCTAGTTGTTTGAATAAATCAGTGATGAAAAATCGAAATGCAAATAACATATCTATGTTTTGTATACGAAGATCTTTGTTGGGGGGTTGATAGAATCAGGATTCTCTTGTGTACCACCATGTGACCCTATCCGACTCGTATGTTTCCTCAAATTCATTGATCATGTCGCATTTCTTATCATTACCATTGAAGATTTGTTTACATATATCAATAAGTTCAGTTTTCCTTGTTGATGTGTGTCACATTCGAATTAAAACATCAATTAATAACCGAAACCAAATAAATGAGCCATTTTCTGTTTTGAAGTTAAAAGATTTTTTTGAAATTTTTCCATCGTCAGCGGTGAGGCTAATTACGATATAACTTCCTGTTTATCTAATTTCTTATGACTTTTTTATTCCAAAATTTTTTCTATCGGCGGAGGATAAAACCATTTTGTATTTTTAGCATCGGCGGTGGCGCCACAAATCTTAATTATCCATCCGTAGCGGCGCAGCGCACAGTTGCATTACAACTTGTCTAGGTCATCCCCAGTAAAAAAAGAAAAATAAGAGATAGAAAACAAAAAAGTTTGAACAATAGAAAAAATGGCACGGTAAATAAAATATGGCTTAGTATATACTATTAACTACTCTAAGAAACAAGATGTTTCTTTAATGCACGTTTAAAAGCTCGAGCACTAAAGGCAGCAATCACTTCTCTTGGTAATTGATTCTACTCTTTTATAGTTTTTGGTAAAAACGAAGATCTAGTAGTTTTACGTTTTAACAAGGGAACCTGCCAGAGGCATTGATTAGAGGTTCGCAAACTAATTTCGAGGTATGGATCAGAGCCCTGCAGGTTAAACCTAATCTAACCTATAGGTTAGGTTAGGTTACAAAAGTTATAGGTTAGGTTGTAGGATGTGTTTTAGTTTTTTTCGATTTCTTTCTACTTTTGCGCAACCGAAATTGAAACAGCGAAATTGCGCAAAATGAAAACAACATCACAGGATAGTTTTGGTTAGGACTAGGTTACCGACTTCATAGATTGGGTTAGGATTTGGTTGTGACATTTTTTATAGGTTAAGTTATAGGTTGCAAAAAGTGGCAACTGTGCAGGGCTCTGGTATGGATATTTTTTCCAAAAAATTTTTACTTTTCTCTCAGAATTTTTAGCATTCTTCTCAAAACTTAACACCCCTCCTACTCTCTTTTTTCGATATGGCACTGTTCACTAGATTCCATTTACTGCACAAAGTAATTGATTCACTCTTTTAATTGAAAAAAGCAGCGTAGCTGCATCTGTTTTTCTCTTTAGAATTGTATTCTAATTATTACTGCTTCAGGCATGAGTAATGTGATTTTCAAAACAATTTTCTTTTTACGAACACCATAAAAATTACCAAATGGAAATAGTTTAACAGAAGATAAATAAGACGTTGTGTGAACGTTTTATTCATATAATCTGTTTTTCGATTAACAATATGACCACATTTCCACAATTAATTTACCATCGACTACACAGAGAGATACCATAAGACGACGTGATTGTGGTAAGAGTGAAGTTGTCAAATCAATGACAAAGAAAATTTACAACAACTAGATAGATTTTAGTATATCTATCTAAAATTTATATTTCTCTGTATTATATATTTTTATCAAATCTTAGTCGAAAAGCTTTAAATGCTGTGTCATTCGTAGTTAAATTAAATCTATATGCTTTTGTATGACCAAATTCCCAGCCTAACGGTGGATTATCAACACTAAAATTCGCTGGTATCACCCAATCAGATGTATTCTTTCGGTTAGAATATTTTTCCATAAAATCTTCCCAACTTTTTAATTTATAATGATTTATCAACGCCACGGAAGGCTGTAATGTCATTGAATAATATTCACGCTGAATCAAAAATTCATAAATTGTTGTATGTAATTTGGCATTTGATGTTTTCACAGCACATTTTCCTCGTCCTTCAAAAATATGTTGTGTATCAGAACGATGAATATAATTATCGGCAACAGTACCGTTAGTAGGACGACGAATATGTCCAGAAGAACCAAATATTTTCCTTTTAAAACATATTTGCGCAAGTTTCTTATCATAATAACGACGAAGAAGTTTCGATAAACAATTTAATGCTAAACATTTTTTAACAAAAACATATTCGTCAACATCAAAAAATAATGTCCAGTCACATTGAGTATCGGCAAGTACTTTAGCATGAACGAAAGCTTGTGGTTGACTGTCAATCCATGGCCAATAGAGCATTTGAACATACGTATTAACAGTTGGTGATTGTGCAATACTTGTAGTATTATCTTTACTGTCATTATCGTATAGAAAAAAATATTCAATACCAAGTTTTTTATGATAAACAAGCCAATCTTCTAAATAAAGTGATTGATTTAGAATTTGTGTTGCAGCACATAAATAATATTTTTTTTCCAAAGGTTGTGATGTATTTGGACGATATCTGAATTTTGTTTTTGTTGGTAAGAGACCTCTGTGACGAGTTTCAAGTGTTACAAATTGACCGTCTAAACTCTGTGCTTCTTCATCTGATTGAAACAAACATTCATAAACATAATTTTGTTGTAATACTCGCCTTAGTGGTTGGTTACCAACAACACAATGAGTGATACTTCTCTTTATTTCAATACCTTGTACAAATACAATGAGTTTAAGTTCCCGGGGTATCCATACGTGTGTTAAAACGTAGGGTACATTAAACGGTGGCACTTGAAATGTTCGACTTGGTGGTTCATATAACGGAAGAGCCTGTGTGTCTGAAGATCGTCCTTTGTATAATAGTGGTATTTCCACATGTAGTTTATTGAAAAGTGATCGTGCTCTCCCGTGCGACTGTTGATTTTGATCATCAATAAGGCCTTTTTTTGATAAAAAATAGGCGGTACTAACGAGATAGAGAACTAGTAGAATTGTTAATTTAGGATAGGCTCTGGCAAATTTTAATAATAAATACATAATGTTGTAAATAAGCAAGTGGTACGTATTGTATGCGATATCACAGGTATGATTAACATCGCCGATCCATGGGATTGTTACCTTTTTCTTTCTTCTACTTTCTTTCACGCGTACAACTTTTTTTCTCAAATAAAACCTACTTGTGCAGTATATTTTTTGATTATATTCGTAAAATGTGATGATACTTTGTCGTACACATCATATTGTATAATATTTTCTCGAAGAGAAAACACGGTAAATTGACAGGTATCAGAACAGCTGAATGATGCAATCTTCTCGACATAAGGTGAAACGAACAAAGGTAAACCCAACAATAAAAGTCAAATATTTAGTGGATCATTTTCTTTTTATCATCACGCTCCTTAACCGCGCACATTATGAACAGTTTCAAAGTGTAAGAAGAATCGATGAAATTCTGCTCTGGTCAAGCAAAAAAAAAGCTAGTATCGTCCGATCTATCTAGATTACTAGATTTTTACTCGATTGCAATTATTTGGTAAAGGACAGTGGAATAGTAATCGGACGATTGCTAGATTTTGTGAAAACTTCCAAGAACACGTCCGTTCTCCAAACGAGATGGAAGTTTGAAGTTTATTTTTATAGAGAGAATCCTAGGGAGAAATGAACCTCGGAAAATGTTGGGGTTTACATAACTGAAACGTGGGGTTTACATACACTGTAAGGTTGGTAATTATTTATGAAAAAAGCTGGGCGAATTTCAAAGAGTACCTATGGGAATTCTCCGAGGATTTTCCAGTTTATAGAAAATCCAATTTCCAACAATCTGGAAAATGTGGGTGGTGGCGCGACCAGGTTTTATGGGGGTTGACCCCGCTCATGCTTTTGAGAAATTTCTGGTGAACGTCTCCGATTTTCGGACCTTTCTACTGAAACTTCGCGCCACCACTATCTCTGCCTAAATCAAAATTCTTGCTGGCATAGGCAGAATTGTGATCTACAGTAGAAACTGTCAAAGTTGATTTAAGTGTAATATGAGTGTCTTTACGTGACGCTCTTATACCTACACTGATTGCAAAACAAAAAGATGAATAAGTATTTGGTCTAGAAATTCTTGAGCGAATTTCCACTTTATAGAAAATCCTCAGCCATTCACCACCTTTATAGAAAATCGAAATTTATGGAAACTCAAGTCGATTTTCTATACACTAGAAAATCAACATTTCCTAGAAAGCCGGAAATTCGTCGAGGAATTTCTATAAACTCGAAAATCCCCGGCGATTTGTCGGGTGATTTTCTATAAACTGGAAATTAATTCAAGATTACTGTGTAGTCTTAATTTCTTGTTAAGAATTTCTTGTCAGTAGCCGTAAACTTTCGGAGTGAAATTGTGATTGATCATATTTCAGTATAAATTTGGTGTTTACAGTTACTGAAATGTGTAGTCCGATCTATTTAGCCTACTAGATTTTTACTCGATTGCAATTATTTAATAAACGACAGTGAAAATCTAGTAATCGGATGATTGATCGATTTCTCTTTAGTTGCAACTATCGATTTATTGCTCGATTAGTTGCACATGCAGACGCATTTAGTTAAAAGTCCCTTTTCCAACTAGTAGTCTAGATGACAACTAGTCATGTATCGCTCGATTACAGATGAAATGTGTATAGGTATTTCTCATAGGTAATATTTGCCTGGGCGGGTTACATATAATTCTTATGATATGAACTTTGCTAGAAAAGAATTGGAAACATGCTAGATAAAACTTTTATACTCCATCAGCCAAAGTTCAGATAGAAATGACTATTGTAGAATAAAATTTTCTCTTTTAAAATAAAATAAATTCGATTTTTGGTTATCGAGATTTTAACTGAACAAGTTTAATTCATAAAAAATATTAGACTAGGTCGTTTATTTCAATGTTGATGATCACTCATAGAAATGAGGCAAAAATGAATGAAAATTCTTTGCAATCAAAGATCATATAGAGACTCTCGATGATCTTTGATTGCAAAGAATTTTCACGAAACGTCATTGAACTCTCTGAGAGTTCAGTGACATCTTATTTTAAAAAGAAAATTTCACCTTATGAGAATCATTTTTTTATAACAGTTTTAAGCCCGCTATCTTTGTAAATGATAGCTTTTGACGATAATATCGATTTTTGTATAATAGGTCATGGTCATACAGCACATCGAAGGTCATGGTCATACAGCACAGAGTGTCTGTTTTCTGCTCTAGATGTACTTTTTTTTGTAGTTTTAGAGCAAGTTTTCCATGGAGACAATCCTTAAAACAATATTTCAAATACTCGTTTTTTCTAGTTGCTTGTACGATTAAATTGTTTTTGAACACGTAGATTTGTAGAGTACATTTCTCTGGTCATTTTTGCGAATTTATATGTACCCTCGTTCGTTTTATTAAGAAAATATGGAAAATCGAGGTAACGATTATTACTGTTATTATTTTTCTGTACTTGATTATTACTCTACCACCTTTGTAAGTAAAAAGTATAAGTTAAAATACCCCACAGTACCTTTCGGTACAGGATGAGATAGAAAACAGTACAAAAACACACAAAATAATTAGTGTTTTTTTGGTCTGCACCTTTGTAACGTTCGAATTAGTTTACCCTTTTTCATTATCGTTGTTTAATGCTAATAGACAAGATCAGTTACCGTTATATCCACGATAACTGGAAAACAGTTTTCATTATGGATACCTCCTCTCTCTTTTTTCACCTTGTTGTCAAATGCGGAGCACACATCTGATTGAGCTCGAATTTATAGCAGAGATAGAACATCGAAAAAGAAAATCGATATATTTTTGTCCAGAATTTTGTGAGATGTTCTTTCTTATCTGGGTTTTCATCCAGTCACATTACGACTCCTTGAAAAATGGTCCGATCGAGCTCAAATTCTTACCACAGATACTTCAAACCCTATCTCACGTTCTAATTTTATTTTTCAAAAAATATGCTTGCCTTCTTGAGATATACGAAAACTGTTGAAAGTCAATGAAAAAAAACTGAAAAAATCTGACTTTTTTTGTGTGATTTTCAGCATTTTTCGTATGTCTCGAGAAGGAAAGCATATTTTTTGAAAAAAAATTAGAACCTGAGATAGGGTCTGAAGTATCTGTGGTAAAAAATTGAGCTGATGTGTGCTCCGCATTTGGCAATAAGGTGAAAAAAGAGGGGAGGAGGCACCTTTAAACGTTGATAACTGTTGTTTTTAGTTATCGATAGCGTCCACAGTACTAACGAGAACTTTCTCAGCCCTAGTCACGTGATATCGAAAGTGAATACAGACTTCAGGCTATGTTCTCTGCAAAACAAGTGAATTTGTGTTTCATTATTAATCCTGTCTAATACTAGAATTTCTCTTACAAGTTTAGGAAGTGTTCTTACCGTCTCTGAGAAGTGCTTCACTCAGTCGACTGTGCAATCTCTGCGCAGCATCTCCGGTTATCATCCTTTCCAATGACGTGATGTGATTGCTCTCCTTTCTCCAAAGGTTCAAGTGCCACTGGAAAGAGTAGATATTTTCGAACAGTACTATATATAATGCAGAAGACTGCTCAAGTTTTATACCAAAATAAAAATTCTGTTGTGTTAAAGTGTTGTGTTTCTGGCCTATCGAAAACGGCACTAAAAATTTAGAAATTTAATGCTATTATTGCAAAAACCGTAGCTATAAGCTTTAAAACTTAAAGAATTAATCATGTAATAGTGATATGATTTTTACTATAAAGACTCATTGATTGAAGCTAATATATCAGTAGAATAAAAGTTTCTTCGTCATCTACTAATTGAGATCAAAACTGAAAACTGAATTTGTTTACGGATACTCCGCATTCTCTTTTTTATTAAGACTTTCGATTTTCGAGTTAGATATGCTACAATATACAGTTAAGTGCCCGCTATAGAATGAGACGTCGCTCAATTCTCCATGACCTTTCTTTCTGGAATAATGCATTTGTTAAGATTGGCTACTGAAGATCCTAATTCATCATTGTTCACCTTACAAAACTGAGTTGCTACAAGGAACGCTATGGTACAACGTGTAAAGTGTGTTTCAATCTTGCTGGCATTTAAAAGTAAAATTCATGAAGGAAATTCCACATTAGAAAAAATATCACTGCTTTCTAGACACTAAAGAGTGTTTTTTTTAATTGTCTCCTAAGCGAGTTAAAACTAATTACTCTTGGTTTCGTTAATATTTGGCGGTTATGTTTAAAAGCTTTAGAAAATAACGGTATCGTTAAAATATCTAAGTACTTATATACTGTTGCACTGGTTTTCCAAAGATCCCCTAGAAAACTATAACTTTTACCATGCTACCTATCCGTACTTATATTTTTCCATAATTTACTGCAATCGAATTTCCTTTATGAATTTTTGTAAAGTGAACCATGATGAATTAGGATCTTCAGTAGCCAATCTTAACAAATGCATTATTCCAGAAAGAAA